AAGTACAGTACAATACAGTGTACACAGAATTTGGTCTTTCTATAGTATGGCCGTGATTGTTTGCATCTCGCTAGGTCGGAATACAGATATAGTATATTTCGATCTTCTAAACGTCTTTACTTTGCCCCAGATGTGAAAATTTCGGTGGGATTCGAACCAACGCCGGCAAGGGGAAGACTTTAGTACAGCCAACTGAACGGGATCCGTGAGTATAATTACACATGGGTCGTTTTAGCCGCCCAGCCTCGCAGCTCAGTTGGATTGGGCGTTGACTATACTACAGCTTTCCTCTTGCTAGCGTGAGTTCGAATCCCACTGAGGCCGTGGAGTTTTTCACAACTGTGTCAAGTAAATTATTCAAATCCGCTAAAAACCCTCTAATTACTAAACGCCTTCGTTAGTCAGTGTGTACTATAAAAAACATTACAGCGGCGCCTTGCTTGAGCATTGGCCATTGAAACTGCTGAATACTGGTTCCTTGTTTCGATAATGTGCAGGTTCCCAGTTGTACTCGGGACAAGTTTCTTAATGAGGGAGAGTATCTGGAAGCTTGGATTCCTGAGCACAATGAAAAAATTTCTCGGAACACTACTTCAGTACGTCTTCAATTTGCATAGTTTCTCGTCTGACAAATAAATATCGTTAGAATGCACTGTTTGCATGGAAGGCGTTGGTTTGTCCAACTAGTTTGGTAAAAGAATACGAATTTTGCAAGTATCTATGAAAGTCGTGATATAATAAGATAGGCGTAAATGCTTCGAGGATGTTGGTTACAGAAATATACCATCAGAAAAAAAATCGAATAACAGGCAACATTTATAAGATACTTGATCGCCGTCACGTAGGAACCATCCGTCGAGGAAATTGTGCCGACTTCATCCTAAAGGAGGTGATCTACATTGCCATAACGCGATGATGATATCTCAGACCGTCAATCAAAGATGACAGAATTTCGTGTTTGCCCATTGAGAAGTTTGCACCCAAACCCTACTTTTGGCGGCGTCTCAGGCTGCAAAGAAGTCTGTGCGTATCGGTACGAATTCACACAGGAACACAGTCATCTGCACGGCTAGATTCAAAAAAGCATGCAAGGGCCATGCATTCGATTTTATGTCCGGCTGACAGCTTGATTCAATCTTTTCGTCAATCATCCCGTCCAGAATGCAAAACCCTATCAAGTAGCCTGACAAATTCCCTTTGTTGTAATGGCTTCCCAGGCTAGATTTGTGCCGCCCCAGTCTTTTTGTGTCAGTCCAATAAGGGAACAACGATCAAGGTCGTAAAGGAAAGGAAGTTGTTCATTGCCCCTCGAACGTGGCTATATGTTAAGAAAGGTTATAAATAGGACCAACTAGATTGTGTCCTCATGTGCCTAGCGGCTCGATTGGTCATCTGGCCCCTTTGTCCTGGTCGCTTTGTGTGACCTAGAGGCGCGCGCC